GGGCTATAGGGGGTCTGCAGGATGCTGTGGGGTGATCTTGGGGTGCTGCAGGGAGTTTTTTTGGGTGTGGGGTGCTCTAGGAGGTCTTCAGATGCTATAGGGACCCCAGGCCGCCTATAGGTAGCCTGAGGGGTGCTATAAGGATGCTGTAGGGACCCTCGGGGGTCCCCGCGTGTCCATCGAGTGTCCCCAAGTGTCTTTGTGGGTCTCCTGAGCGTCCCCGCGTGTCTCCTCTGCGTCCCCGCGTGTCTCCTCTGCGTCCCCAAGTGTCTCCTCTGTGTCCCCAAGTCTCCTGACGGGTCTCCTGCGTGTCCCTGCGTGTCCCTATGGGTCCCCCAAATGTCTCCCCCACGTCCCCGCGTATCCCTGTGTGTCCCCGGGTGTCCTTATAGGTCTCCTCAGTGTCCCCACGGGTCCTCAGAGTGTCCCTAAGTGCCCTCACGCATCCCCAAGTGTCCCCAACTGTCCCCTCATCCCCACCCCTTTCCCGTCCGCGTGTCCCCAGCCCTCGGGGGTGCTATAGGGACCTTCAGGAGTGCAATAGGCACGTCCAGGGGTGCTATAGAGTGCTATAGGGACCCCCAGGAGTGCTATAGGGACCCCCAGGAGTGCTATAGGGACCCAGGGAATGCGATCGGCGCGCCTAGGGGTGCTACAGCGGTGCTGCGGGTACCCCCAGGGGTGCTTATAGGCACCCCCAAGAATGCTGTGGGGACCCCAGGGGTGCTCTGGGGAGCCAAGGAACGCGGTGGGCGCCCCTAGGGGGGCTAGAGGGGTGCTGGAGGTACCCCCAGCAATGCTATAGGTACTTGCAGGAATGCTATAGGGACCCTCAGGTGTGCCGCAGGGACCTCAGGAATGCTATAGGGACCCCAAGAATACTGTAAGGATCCCTGCGAGTGCTATAGGGACCTCGGAGTGCCCCAAAGGCCCCTCCGGGGCTACCCCCTGGGGCCTGGGCGCCCTTTGGGGCCCCCTATAGACGCCGGGGTTATTCCGCTATAGGGCTGTATATGGACCGGCGCTGCGTCTACTACCGGAAGCCGCTGCTGGAGTCGGGGACGCTGGGGACGAAGGGGAACGTGCAGGTGGTGATCCCCTTCCTGAGCGAGTCCTACAGCTCCCGCCAGGACCCCCCCGAGAAGGCCATCCCCATCTGCACCCTCAAGAACTTCCCCAACGCCATCGAGCACACCCTCCAGGTACCCCTATAGGGGCCCCCGCGCGCCCGGCTCCCTTCTATAGGGGACCCCGGGCACCTCTTTCCATTCTGTAGGATCTCCCAGATGTCAGCGTCCCTTTTAGGGGGTGCCCCGAATGCCTGGGTCCCTGCTGGGGGAGATCCCGGACGCCTGGGTCCCTTCTATAGGGTGCCCCGGATGCCTGGGTCCCTTCTATAGGGTCTCCCGGATGCCTGGGTCCCTTCTATAGGGTGCCCCGGACGCCTGGGTCCCTTCTGTAGGGTCTCCCGGATGCCTGGGTCCCTTCTATAGGGTGCCCCGGACGCCTGGGTCCCTTCTATAGGGTCTCCCAGA